GGAAAGCGGGATACTGGGAGGAAGCACAGGCAGGAACGTCTGTGAGGGGAGGGCTCCTGCCTCATACTGAGAATGAGGGGCGATCAGCAGGTTATCTCAAGTGCTTATATACGAATGCACAAAGCCTTGGAAACAAGCAGGGAGAACTGGAGGTCCTGGTGATGTCAAGGAATTATGACGTGATTAGAATAACGGAGACTTGGTGGGATAACTCACATGACTGGAGTACTGTCATGGATGGTTATAAACTGTTCAGGAAGGACAGGCAGGGCAGAAAAGGTGGGGGAGTAGCACTGTATGTAAGGGAGCAGTATGACTGCTCAGAGCTCTGGTACGAAGCTGCAGAAAAACCTGAGTGTCTCTGGATTAAGTTTAGAAGTGTGAGCAACAAGAGTGATGTAGTGGTGGGAGTCTGCTATAGACCACTGGACCAGGTGGATGAGGCTTTCTTCCGGCAACTCACAGAAGCTACTAGATCACATGCCCTGGTTCTCATGGGTGACTTTAATTTTCCTGATATCTGCTGGGAGAGCAATACAGCAATGCACAGACAATCCAGGAAGTTTTTGGAAAGCGTAGGGGACAATTTCCTGGTGCAAGTGCTAGACAAGCCAACTAGGGGGGAGCTTTTCTTGACCTGCTGCTCACAAACAGGGAAGAATTAGTGGGGGAAACAAAAGTGGACGGGAATCTGGGAGTCAGTGACCATGAGTTGGTTGAGTTCAGCATCCTGACACAGGGAAGAAAGGTAAGCAGCAGGATACGGACCCTGGACTTCAGGAAAGCAGACTTCGACTCCCTCAGGGCACGGATGGGTAGGATCCCCTGGGGGACTAACATGAAGGGGAAAGGAGTCCAGGAGAGCTGGCTGTATTTCAAGGAATCCCTGTTGAGGTTACAGGGACAAACCATCCCGATGAGTCGAAAGAATAGTAAATATGGCAGGCGACCAGCTTGGCTTAATGGTGAAATCCTAGCAGATCTTAAACATAAAAAAGAAGCTTACAAGAAGTGGAAGTTTGGACATATGACCAGGGAAGAGTATAAAAATATTGCTCGGGCATGTAGGAATGAAATCAGGAGGGCCAAATTGCACCTGGAGCTGCAGCTAGCAAGAGATGTCAAGAGTAACAAGAAGGGTTTCTTCAGGTATGTTGGCAACAAGAAGAAAGCCAAGGAAAGTGTGGGCCCCTTAATGAATGAGGGAGGCAACCTAGTGACAGAGGATGTGGAAAAAGCTAATGTGCTCAATGCTTTTTTTGCCTCTGTCTTCACTAACAAGGTCAGCTCCCAGACTGCTGTGCTGGGCATCACAACATGGGGAGTAGATGGCCAGCCCTCTGTGGAGAAAGAGGTGGTTAGGGACTATTTAGAAAAGCTGGACGTGCACAAGTCCATGGGGCCGGACGAGTTGCATCCGGGAGTGCTAAAGGAATTGGCGGCTGTGATTGCAGAGCCATTGGCCATTATCTTTGAAAACTCGTGGAGAATGGGGGAAGTCCCGGATGACTGGAAAAAGGCTAATGTAGTGCCAATCTTTAAAAAAAAAGAAGAAGGAGGATCCTGGGAACTACAGGCCAGTCAGCCTCACCTCAGTCCCCAGAAAAATCATGGAGCAGGTCCTCAAAGAATCAATCCTGAAGCACTTACATGAGAGGAAAGTGATCAGGAACAGTCAGCATGGATTCACCAAGGGAAGGTCATGCCTGACTAATCTAATCGCCTTCTCTGATGAGATTACTGGTTCTGTGGATGAAGGGAAAGCAGTGGATATATTGTTTCTTGACTTTAGCAAAGCTTTTGACACGGTCTCCCACAGTATTCTTGTCAGCAAGTTAAAGAAGTATGGGCTGGATGAATGCACTATAAGGTAGGTAGAAAGTTGGCTAGATTGTCAGGCTCAACGGGTAGTGATCAATGGCTCCATGTCTAGTTGGCAGCCGGTGTCAAGTGGAGTGCCCCAGGGGTCAGTCCTGGGGCCGATTTTGTTCAATATCTTCATAAATGATCTGGAGGATGGTGTGGATTGCACTCTCAGCAAATTTGCGGATGATACTAAACTGGGAGGAGTGGTAGATACGCTGGAGGGCAGGGATAGGATACAGAGGGACCTAGACAAATTGGAGGATTGGGCCAAAAGAAATCTGATGAGGTTCAATAAGGATAAGTGCAGGGTCCTGCACTTAGGACGGAAGAACCCAATGCACCGCTACAGACTAGGGACCGAATGGCTACGCAGCAGTTCTGCGGAAAAGGACCTAGGGGTGACAGTGGACGAGAAGCTGGATATGAGTCAGCAGTGTGCCCTTGTTGCCAAGAAGGCCAATGGCATTTTGGGATGTATAAGTAGGGGCATAGCGAGCAGATCGAGGGACGTGATCGTTCCCCTCTATTCGACATTGGCGAGGCCTCATCTGGAGTACTGTGTCCAGTTTTGGGTCCCACGCTACAAGAAGGATGTGGATAAATTGGAGAGAGTCCAGCGAAGGGCAACAAAAATGATTAGGGGACTGGAACACATGACTTATGAGGAGAGGCTGAGGGAACTAGGATTGTTTAGTCTGCAGAAGAGAAGAATGAGGGGGGATTTGATAGCTGCTTTCAACTACCTGAGAGGTGGTTCCAGAGAGGATGGTTCTAGACTATTCTCAGTGGTAGAAGAGGACAGGAGAAGGAGTAATGGTCTCAAGTTGCATGAGGAAGGTTTAGGTTGGATATTAGGAAAAACTTTTTCACTAGGAGGGTGGTGAAACACTGGAATGCGTTACCTAGGGAGGTGGTAGAATCTCCTTCCTTAGAAGTTTTTAAGGTCAGACTTGACAAAGCCCTGGCTGGGATGATTTTATTGGGGATTGGTCCTGCTTTGAGCAGGGGGTTGGACTAGATGACCTCCTGAGGTCTCGTCCAACCCTGATATTCTATGATTCTATGATTCAGCTAACATGAGCCATGGAAGTATAAGCAGAGGAATGTCAAGTAGGAATAGGGAGGTGGTAGTACTTCACTATACAGCATTAAGGAGACCATTACTGGACATTGTGTCAAAAAAGAGATGCTGATAAATTCGATGTGGTTTGGTTAAGAGAATGATGGGAAGCTGAGAAATCCTGCTTTGTAACGAGAGACTTAAGAAGCTCAATCTATTTATCTTATCAAAGAGGAGGTTAAGAAGTGACTGGATCATAGTGAGGAGATTTCTGAGAGCAGAAGGTTGTTTAAGCTCATAAACAAAAGCAGGAAGATGCCCAGTGGCTGGAAAGTTTGTCTAGATATATTCAGGTTGTAAATATGTTTAACAGTCATTGTGGTAATTAATCACTGCAGTAAATTTCGCAGGGATATGGTGGACTCTCCATCATTTGAGGTCTTCAAATCAACACTGGATGCCTTTTTCAAAAAAATCCACACAGTCTAACTCAGCCACAAGACACAGGTTGATACAGAAATTATTGGGTGAGGTTCTCTTATGAAGGAGATCAGACTAGATGATATTGGTCCCTTTTGGCCTTTAAATCTATTAATCTTTGCGGGTGTCTACATTAGCCAGATACCCAGTTAATTGTGTCTCTGGACTCGGGACCAAGTTCAGCAAACCATGCCTATTCAGCAAAACACTGAAACAGAAGGGGGGGTTAATTGGCAGTGATGGAGACTTAGTTGTACCTCAGATACCTAGAGAGGGTAGCAACTCTGCTCTGCTTCCCAGGGGAGTAAGTCAGGGCCATTCCCTAGACAGAGTGGACGAACCCTTGCTCCAGATCAGTGCATCAAGTGAACTTGTATAATTTATAGCTCAGTCCCTGTAGTCTGGGGTTGGGAAGAGTAAGGATCCTTTCAGGGTAGGCTACTCAGACCCTCGCTCTGGAAGCAGTAACAGCACTGAGCTTAATGAACAAGATCAAACACTTGTTCCCTTCAACCCCGTGCAGGATTTCCATTTTTCAAACCTGACCTGATCTCCCAGCTGGAATGAGGGCAGAAGTCATGGGTCCTCAACACAGGTGCCAATTCCATGGGTGCTCCAGGGCTGGAGCATCCACGGAGAAAAATCAGCAGGTGCTCAATACCCACCAGCAGCCAAGCTCCCCCCTCCCGCCCACGGGCAGCCCTGCCAATCAACTCCTCCCCCTCCCTTCCAGTGCCTCCTGGACACTGCGTAACAGCTGTTCCACAGCATGCAGGAGGCACTGGGAGGGAGGGGAGAGGCATGGGGAGGGGGTAGAAAGAGGGCGGGGTGGGGGTGAAGCCTTGAGGGAAGGGGTGGAGTAGGGTGGGACAGGAAGAGGCGGGTCAGGGATTGGACCGTGGGGGAAAGGGCTAGGGCTAAGTGGGGGTTGAGCACCCCCAGGGAAAATCAGAAGCCAGTGCCTGTGGTTCCCAATCTCCAGGGCTACAAGGAAAAGGATCTCAAAAGGCACCCAAACAGGAGAGGAATTGGTGAAACTGACTCAAAAAGAATTTAGTTATATCCCCTTGGCAGACATCACTGAGTTTTCACCAATCTTCAGCTATATTCAGATAGGATAGGAGGTTGAATTGGTCCCTTCCTCTTCCTCCTTTGAAATAAAGTTGGGGTGGGGGGGATTTTTCCTCCTGATGTCTTTTAAGTCCCCAGTAATTAGTTTTTTACCCTCCCTTTGCTATTCCCTTTCCCCTCAGCACAGTGAATGATTCCTGTCTGGATTCTTTTTCTATCCCAGCAGGTGATGGGACGGTGAGTGAGAAAAAGAAGGAAGATTCTGAGCAGGTAGGACCACAGGTGACGTTATCAGGTAGAGCCATAGGGAAAGTTTTCCAGAGCACTGAACAGGGAGAAGCCCATCAGAGTCAGCGTAGGCCAGAGAGGCAGCTGCGAAACCAAGCAGGGGAGATCCAGCATGAATCCACTCACAGGAGCAGAGCGTTCAAAGAAACCAAAGAGCCTGTACTACAGAGAATTGCCTCTGGAGAGGAACTGAACTTATGCAGTGACTGTGAGAGAAGCTTCCTTTGGAAATCAGCCCTTATTACTCACCAGCGAATCCACAAAGGAGAGAAACCCTATAAGTGTCTAGACTGTGAGAAAAGCTTCAACTGCAGCTCACACCTTATTTTACATCAGAGAACCCACACAGAGGAGAAACCATATAGATGCTCTGAGTGTGGAAAAAGCTTCAATCAGCAGTCCAATCTTCTTATACACCAGAGAATCCACACAGGAGAGCGGCCCTATAAATGCCCCGACTGTGGGAAAAGCTTCAGTTACAACTCAGTCCTTATGACACATCAGAAAATGCACACTGGAGAGAAGCCCTATAAGTGTCTTGACTGTGAGAAAATCTCTAGCCAGAGCTCAGACCTCACTAAACACCAGAGAACCCACACTGGGGAGAGACCCTACAAATGCAACGAGTGTGGAAAAAGCTTTAGTCTGAGCTCCCACCTTATTTCACATAAAAAAACCCATAAGGGGGAGAGACCCTATATATGCCCCAACTGTGGGAAAAGCTTCAGTGACAGCTCAAACCTTATTACGTGTAACCCTTCTGCCCGTCAGAGTTGGCAGCAACAAGGGCCGGGTTCAATATCTAGGGGATCCATTCCAATAACACAATGCAAACTGGCTCGAGCCCCCACCCAGTGACCTGGGACAAATATATACCACCCCCGCTGGGCGCCTCCAAGAGGCAATACTTCCCCTCTCGCAAGCACCTAGTCTGAGTGTAGCAAAAAGCCTTTTAATAACAGAGAGAAACAATGTGGCATTATGTTGGGGAAACACCACCAAGAAGATTCATAACACAACCCATGTGCAAAAAAACCCACCCAAAGCAAATTGGGGCATGCCCTTTCCCTTTGGTTCTTGAGTCCAGCAACCCCAAATCACCCATAGTCCCAGAAGTCCAATGACCTAAAAGTCTCTGTCCCTAGTCAGGGCAGCCCCAGAGTTCAAAAGTTTATCTACAGAGCTTTACCTCCCAACCTGGGTGGAGATGGCAGAGGTAAGAGGCACCTTACATGATCTGAAGTTGACCGCCCCACAACTCCATAGGCCTTCACTCCACCAGCCACCCCACAAACTGCTTTGCTCAGATCTGCAGCCCACCAGCAGCTCCCGCCGGCCCACGAACTGCTCCACGTCCCACCAGCAGCTCCTGCCATCCTATGAACTGCTCCACCAGCCTGTCCACAAGGCACTCCAGCTGTCCCACAAACTGCTCCACAATATATCTTCAGGCTCCCCCGCTACTTAACACAACACTCAGTGATGTCAGCTCTGCTCTTTGATGAATTCAGCTTGTAGTATGGGAGCCTCAGTGCTGATGCATCATTAGCCCAAAGTGAGCTCAGCAGCCTGTAACTAGACTCCTAATGAAATCAAAATTAGCTCTGACATTCCACAGTGGAGAGAGGAGGAAGTGCAATTAGCATGTAAGGCCCTCACCAAGGGGCCCTTACCACCAAGTATTAATACTTATCCCCATCCTCTCTCAATTCACAGAGTTTTGGAACCCATGACTCTTGCCTAGTGAGTGCTACTTAGATAATGGTGAGTCCCTCCATCATAACAAAAGGCCAAGTACAGTTCCAAGCACAGTTCCCATAATCAGGGTAATAACAATTTATTCTTCCTGCCCCAATAACAGAGACAGTGGGGATCCCACAGCAGCCAAAGTGACCATTTGGGCAGCTATGGCTTCATTCTAGGCGGGGTGGGTGTGCCTATGCAAATGAGATCAGCCCCTGAAGTTCTTTTCCACAACTTGCCACACCTCACCACCAGATGTCAGGGTGGAGCTCATCCTGACACTGCTTACATCCTCTCCCCAGCCGAGAATTTGTCGTCCCAACAAATCACACTCCCTTTATACCAACTCATTGGTTTCCTCCAAAGGGCCTCAGGAAGCCCACTTTAGCTTCCACAAGCCTGTGTGCTAAATGTATTGGCTCCTCACTAGTCACCCCAGGTGCATCATAAGTTAACCGTTTTACTGGCTTATCGCCCTGTCTCGTCTATTGAGAATCTCTGTTGCCGAGGTAGGGGGAACATCCTCTTGAGTGACAAACGGAGAAGTTTCCTTTGAGAGTCCCTTGGCTACTGGCGTAAGCCCCTGCACTCCTAGTTCTAATGCTGGAGGGTCCAAGGTGCCCAGGACATCCTCTACCTGTGTGTCTCCACTGTCTAATAACCTGTGTGTGTCATCACCGGGGGGTCTCATCAGCGGCACAGGGGTGTCAGAAATGGGCCTAAATAATTCCGCCATGGGGTTTAGGGCGGAAGAGGGAAAACTCTCGTTTGGTTCAGCTGATCGAGACTGAAATCTTGTCTCCATCTCAGGCTACACCAGGGTTGTGTCTTCCTCCTCAGACTCACTCTCAGAGGTGCAGTATAGGGGTAAGTTAGCAGCACAGGGCCTGCTGTCTGTGTTGGATGCTGGCTTTGGTCTAGCACCTCTGTTCTGCCTGGCTGCCCTGTCGTGGCCCATCTCATAAGGGGTGCTTACCAATTCCCCCACAGGGAGCAAAAGGTTTCTATGCACCATCTTTATTTGCCCTGGACTGTCTTCAGGTTTGATCTTGTAGACCGGCAGATCTCCCAGCTTTTCCATCGCCAGGTAAGGTATTGCCTTCCATCTGTCAGCTATCTTGTGTTTGCCAGCAATACCCAAATTTTGCAGCAGGACTCTGTCCCCCAGCTGGAGCTCCTGCAAACGCACTCTGGCATCATATCAATGTTTGTTGCGGTCTGCGTTCTTCCAAGCCGCAGCGGTAGCTAAGTGATAAGCATCCCGCAGCTTTTCTCTTAGTCGGGATACTTATTGCTGATGAGTTTCATAGCTATCTCCATCCTCTGATACACCAAAGCACAAGTCTATGGGTAATCTTGGTTCTCGCCCAAACATCAAGAGATATGGGGTGACTCCCGTAGCATCGTTCTTTGTGGCATTGTAGGCATGCACCAGAAATGCGACATGCTGGCTCCAGGTTGCCTTCTGCTCTGGTCGCAAAGTTCCCAACATATCTAATAAGGTTCGGTTGAACCTCTCTGGCTGAGGATCACCTTGGGGGTGATAAGGCTTTGTCCTAGACTTTTTAATTCCTGCTATCTTCAGCACCTCCTTCAGAAAGTGACTCTCAAAATCCCGCCCCTGATCAGAGTGTATCCGGGAATCCATAGTCTGAGAAATATTTGTCCCACAATATTCGAGCGACGGTGGTGGCCCTCTGATCACGTGTGGGATATGCCTGTGCATACCGTGTAAAATGGTCAGTCACTACTAGAATGTTCCCAATATTCCTCTTATCTACCTCTACAGACAAGAAATCAATGCATACCAATTCCAAAGGTTTGTTGCTGGTGATGTTCTTGAGATATGCAGCCCCCGTGGGCAGAGTTTTCCTTTGAACACATCGAGCGCAAGTCTCACATTTCCTGCGAACATCTTCAGTATTCGGGGCCAATAGAACCTACTATGAATAAGTTCCAGGGTCCTCTCCATCCCTAAATGCCCAAAGTCATCATGCAGGGCCCTCATGGCCAGGGCTCTGTACTTTTTTGGCAGTACTAGTTGTGCTCGTTGTTTTTGTAAAGGATCGGTGGTCATTCGGTGTAGCACTCCCTGAATCAGTTTTAGTTTGGTCCATTCTCTCAACAGTAGTTTACCCTCCGGGTTAGGTGGGACAACCACAGCTGGGCTTCGCCCCTTCCTTTTGGCAAGTAGTGTATCATGAATGTCAATATCTTGCTGCTGGGCTTCTTGCCAGTCAGCCGCATTGAGCATGGGCAAAAGGAGATTGGTCCAATGCAATATAGTTCACTGAAGCAGAAGGCAGGCATTCGGGGGCCCAAAGCTTCTGCAACACATCCCTGAAGGCTCTCACGGGCCTCTGGCTCTCGGCGACTCACACTGCAAATAGCTCTCACTCTATTTGTGGGTATCACAGCAACTTCTGGAGCCTGCGGACGCCTGGACAATGCATCTGCATCTACATTGCTTCTCCCTGATCGGTACTGAATGCTGAACTCATAGATAGCCAAGGCGGCCACCCATCTCTGCCCTGTAGCATCCAGCTTAGCACTTGTTAACACATAAGTCAGTGGATTGTTGTCTGTCCACACCTGGAACTGAGCACCATACAGGTAGTCTCGAAATTTCTCAGTGATGGCCCATTTCAAGGCCAAGAATTCCAGCTTGTGGGTGGGATAGCGAGTTTCACTATCAGACAATTCTTGGCTGGCAAAGGCTACAGGTTTACGTTTGCCTTCCACTTCCTGGTACAGGACTGCTCCCAGACCCTCCAAACTAGTATCAGTATGCAGGATAAATGGTTTGCTTGGGTCAGCAAAAACTAGGACTGGAGCATGAGTTAGGCAAGTCATGATTTCTTGAAAAGCCCTTTCACATCTCTCATCCCACTGTGGCCCAAATGGTTCAAAGGGGCCATAGTGTCTCTACACAGGAGGCTTTGGGGAGCTCCCCTTATTCTTGGTCTTAGATTTGTTCTTGCTGGACTGATGTCCCCTGGTACGATCGTTCAGAGGCTTTACAATCGTAGCATAGTTTTTCGCAAATCTGCAGTAGTAGCCACCAAATCCAAGAAAGGTCTTGTGTTCTCTGTAGTTACTTGGACGCGGCCATGTAGTGAGTGCTTCTATTTTATCAGGATCAGTACTCACACCCTCTTGGGACACGATGTGACCCACATACTTCACTGAGGTTCTGCAGAACTGGCATTTGTCAATTGAAAGCTTCAGACCATAATCCTCCAACCTATCAAGCACTTTAAGAAGTCTTTATTCATGCTCCTCTAAGGTTCTTACAAACACAATCAGGTCATCCAAATAAACTAACACTTGCAGTAAATTCATGTCTCCCACAACTTTCTCCATGAGACGTTGAAAGTTGGCAGGTGCTCCAGAAATCCCTTGGGGCATGTGTTCGAACTGATAAAACCCTAATGGGCAGATGAAGGCTGTCTTCTCCTTATCTTCTCCTCCCAGAGGGATCTGGTAGTATCCACTTTGAAGATCCAACACAGAGAACCACTGGCTTCCCAGCAAACAGTCTAAGGCATCTTGCACTCGAGGCATAGTGTACTGGTCGACCACAGTACGGCTGTTTAGGGTGCGGTAGTCAATACACATCCGGATTTTCCCATTCTTTTTATGGACTACCACAATGGGTGAGGCGTATGGGCTGCGGGACTCTGTAATGATGCCATTCGCAGCCAGCTCCTGAAGATGATGTCACACATCTTCCATCTCAGAGAAAGCAATCTTCCTAGATCTCTCCCTGAAAGGTCGAGAGTCATGTAGTCTGATATTGTGCTCTACTCCTTTTGCACATCCCACATCCCACTCATGCAGTGAGAACACCTTGGATCTTTCACAAAGTTTCTTCCTCAGGCGAGCTTTCCAGTCCTTGGACACTGGTGAATCTCCAAAGTCAAACTTTGCTGAGTCTATTGTCAGAACTTGAGTTTCACACTGGGGTTTTACAATCGACTCAGGCTCAAAGAGGTCTGCTATCTTTTGTCCTTGCTTCACAACAACATTACTACTCATTTCATTAGCAATCAGTATAGTCACCCTTTTCTGGGCTTCAGCAGGTAGGGTTATGACTCCACTGGGGACCAGCACTCCTTCAGGGAGCTCTCCTCCCATTGGCTGCTCTATCATTGCTAATGTCCGTTTACTGCCTTTCAGCCAGGTACTCATGACAAGCACTTCTTGCTCCGTCCTTGGAGGCATTACTAAGGGGGTCGTGCCCGCGTACTTCAGTGCCCCAAGCAGTAGCTTAGATGCGTCCCTTTTAGCGCTCTCAATTTTCCTATAGGCTTCAGCACAAAGCATATGGATCATCAGGGTATTCAGGTACTGGTCCCCAGCCCACCTTCTGCAGTAATCTGCAAGTACCTTGAAGAGACTGGAGTTGGTCCCTATCAGCACAGACACATCAGAAGTCCCTTTAGGGTCAGGGCATATTAAGACAGCTGTGTCTACCTCTTCTCTTACCCCAGCAACCTCCTCTGTGAATTCCAGGTGCACTATGACATACCCTTTGTAGGGGTATTCATCCATGCTGAGGCCACACAGGCCAACACCAGTCAGTGGCTGTATAGGCAGGTGCCTAAGCATCTGTTGGTAGAATGACTGAAATATAATAGTCATTTGAGATCCAGTGTCAAGCAGTGCTTTACTCTCCACCCCTTCAATCCTCACCGTGACTTCTGCTTGAGGCCCTATCAGTCCTGTGGGGATCTTCAAATTCTGCAGACCTGGGGGGTCCCCGTCCCCAGACCCTCTGGCAGCTACCGGATCACTCCCACAAACTGCTCTGCATCCCACCAGCAGCTCCCACGGTCCCATAAACTGCTCCACCAGCTTGTCCACAAGGCACTCCAGCTGTCCCACAAACTGCTCCACAATATAACTTCAGGCTCCCCCACGACTTAACACAACACTCAGTGATTTCAGCTCTTAGTCAGTTCAGCTCTTTGGTGAATTCAGCTTGTAGTAGGGGGAGCCTCAGTGCTGGTGCACTGTTAACCCAAAGTGAGCTCAGCAGCCTGTAACTAGACTCCTAATGAAATCAAAATTAGCTCTGACATTCCACAGTGGAGAGAGGAGGAAGTGCAATTAGCATGTAAGGCCCTCACCAAGGGACTCACGCCACCAAGTATTAATACTTGTCCACAGCCTCTCTCAACTGACAGAATTTTGGAACCCATGACCCTTGCCTAGCGAGTGCTACTTAGTTGATGGTGACTCCCTCCATCATAACAAAAGACCAAGTACAGTTCCAAGCATAGTTCCCATAATCAGGGTAATAACCATTTATTCTTTCTGCCCCAATAACAGAGACACTGGGGATCCCACAGCAGCCAAAGTGACCATTTGGGCAGCTATGGCTTCATTCTAGGCGGGGTGGGTGTGCCTATGCAAATGAGATCAGCCCCTGAAGTTCTTTTCCACAACTTGCCACACCTCACCACCAGATGTCAGGGTGGAGCTCATCCTGACACTGCTTACATACGCATCAAAGCATCCACACAGGAGAGAAGCCCTACAAATGCCCTGAGTGCAGGAAAAGCTTCGGTCGTCTCTCACACCTTAATAGACACCAAACAATCCACACAGGAGAGAGACCCTTTAAATGCTTGGACTGTGGGAACAGCTTTCGTGACAGCTCATCCCTCATCAGGCATCAGAGAATCCACACAGAAGAGAAACTCTAGAAGATGGGTGAAGTGAACAACAATACAGCTGATTCCAATGAATATCAGAGGGTCGGGTAAGACAGTACTGGCCATCTAATGAGGACATGTTATTAAAGTAGATAATGAAATCACATTCCTAGAACAGAGGCATGCAGAGCAAGAGGCAGAGATAAGATTCCCATGTTGTGAAGAGATTTGATTATTATGTCTCAAGAAGCTCTGAACGTCCTCTGATTAGCTCCTGCTCTGAAGTTTGTTGATACAGACCTAGAACCATCTTTATCTTATGTGGTGTGACTTTGATTTATTCTTGATACTGTTTTAGTTAATTGATACATTCAGGAGCAGAGATGGATTCAGGTCAGAAATGCAGTAATACTTCGGCTCTGGGCACTGAGTTGGGATGATGGTTTATTTGTGACTTTCTTGCTTTGAATGAAGAGGAGTAAAGTGGGTCCCAGTTTCTCAAACTCTGAGACCTTTATCTGGAGATGTCAAGAATGTGAAGATGGGTCACTGTGTAATGAAATGGGGTCTCTGGGAAAGTCTCTTTAAAGGTTTATTTTATATTGTATAATCTAGCCAATATAATTACACTGGAGTTCTGCTTTTTACTCCCTGTACTTATCATGAATTCATAGATATAAAATGTCTAACTAGATGACTGAATTATTGATTATTACCAGTGGAGTTACATGCTTTCATTGCTATGGGTCTGCAGTTGTCCTTTCTGATATATGTATCCACTACAAAAGTCCTATATTAAAGTGGTAAAATCCCTGACCCAATTACTTGTGCTTAATCCTTCTACATTTAGAATCTAGGTTTATTAAACACACTGTATTTATGAAATTAGTTTCATATTTCATTTTTAGACAACAGGCACTTAGCACAAAACTATCAAAAAGTTTACTTCAGAATCATGAGTGTAAATACACTGAAGCTAATACCCTGGAATCTGGGGTACACATGTGGGGACCCACATGAAAGACCCCCAAGCTTATTTCTATCAGCTTAGGTTAAAAACTTCTCCAAGACACAAATCCTTTCCTTGCCCTTGGACGGTATTGCTGCCACCACCAAGTGATTTAGACAAAGATTCAGGAAAAAGACCACGTGGAGTCCCTATTTCCCCAAAATATCTCCCAAAGCCCCTTCACCCCCTTTCCTGGGGAGGCTTGAGAATAATATACTAACCAGTAGGTTAACAAAGTGAGCACAGACCAAACCCTTTGGTTTTTAGGACACTAAAAATCAATCAGGTTCTTAAAAGAAGAACTTCATTATAAAGAAAAAAGTAAAAGAATCACACCTGCAAAATCAGGATGGAAGGTAACTTCACAGGATAATAAAAGATTTAAAACACAGAGGACTCCCCTCTGCACTCAACTTCATAGTTACAAAAAACAGGAATAAACCTCCCTCTTAGCATAGGGAAAATTCACAAACTAAAACAAAAGATAATCTAACGCATTTCCTTGCCTTTACTTACAATTTCTGTAATTTTAGATGACAGCCAGGAACTGTTTCTCACCCTGGACCTGGAGCCAGTACCCCCTGAACCCACCCAAGGCTGCCTCCTGGACCCGGCAGGCGGAGAAGGGACCTCCGGTGAGTGTACCTTTTAAAATACTATACATGTGAAAGGATTACTTTGCCCTGGCATTCGCGGCTCTCCTGGATGTACTCCTAAAGCCTTTGCAAAAGGTTTCTGGGGAGGGCAGCCTTACTGCGTCCTTCATGGTAGGACTCTTTACCACTCCAGGCCAGTAACACGTACTCGGGAATCATTGTACAACAAAGCATTGCAGTGTATGTTTGCTGGCATTCAAACAACATCCGTTCTTTATCTCTCTGTGTTATCCTCAGGAGAGTGAGATATAATTCATGGTCACCTGGTTGAAATAGAGTGCTTTTCTTCAGGGGACACTCAGAGGAGCCCGTTCCTGCTGGGCTGTTTGCCTGTGGCTAAACAGAAATGTTCCCCGCTGTTAGCCACAGGGAGGGGGGAAGGTTGAGGGGGTAGCCACGTGGTGGGGGGAGGCAAAAAGCGACCTTGTAACAAAAGCACATGTGCTATGTATGTAATGTTAACAGCAAGGATTACCCTGAAAGAGTGTAGCCACTGTTTTATAAAATGTGTCTTTTTAAACACCGCTGTCCCTTTTTTTTTCTCCACCAGCTGCATGTGTTTCAATGATCACAGGATCTTCTCCTTCCCAGAGGCTAGTGAAGCTTAGAAAGAAAAAAAATCGCACTCACGATGAAATGTTCTCCGAGCTCATGCTGTTCTCCCACACTGACAGAGAACAGACGAATGCGTGGAGGCAAATACTGTCAGAGTGCAGGAAAGCACAAAATGACCGGGAGGAGAGGTGGCGGGCTGAAGAGAGTAAGTGGCGGGCTGAAGACAGGGCTGAAGCTCAAATGTGGCGGCAGCGTGATGAGAGGAGGCAGGATTCAATGCTGAGGCTGCTGGAGGACCAAACCAGTATGCTCCAGTGTATGGTTGAGCTGCAGCAAAGGCAGCTGGAGCACAGACTGCCACTACTGCCCCTGTGTAACCAACTGCCCTCCTCCCCAGGTTCCATAGCCTCCACACCTAGACGCCCAAGAACGCGGTGGGGGGGCCTCTGGCCAACCAGCCACTCCACCACAGAGGATTGCCCAAAAAAAAGAAGGCTGTCATTCAATAAATTTTAAAGTTGTAAACGTTTAAAGTGCTGTGTGGCATTTTCCTTCCCTCCTCCACCACCCCTCCTGGGCTACCTTGGTAGTCATCCCCCTATTTGTGTGATGAATGAATAAAGAATGCATGAATGTGAAGCAACAATGACTTTATTGCCTCTGCAAGCGGTGATTGAAGGGAGGAGGGGCGGGTGGTTAGCTTACAGGGAAGTAGAGTGAACCAAGGGGCGGGGGGTTTCATCAAGGAGAAACAAAGAGAACTTTCACACCGTAGCCTGGCCAGTCATGAAACTGGTTTTCAAAGCTTCTCTGATGCGTACCGTGCCCTCCTGTGCTCTTCTAACCGCCCTGGTGTCTGGCTGCGCGTAACCAGCAGCCAGGTGATTTGCCTCAACCTCCCACCCCGCCATAAACGTCTCCCCCTTACTCTCACAGATATTGTGGAGCACACAGCAAGCAGTAATAACAGTGGGAATATTGGTTTTGCTGAGGTCTAAGCGAGTCAGTAAACTGCGCCAGCGCGCCTTTAAACGTCCAAATGCACATTCTACCACCATTCTGCACTTGCTCAGCCTGTAGTTGAACAGCTCCTGACTACTGTCCAGGCTGCCTGTGTACGGCTTCATAAGCCATGGCATTAAGGGGTAGGCTGGGTCCCCAAGGATACATATAGGCATTTCAACATCCCCAACAGTTATTTTCTGGTCTGGGAGTAAAGTCCCTTCCTGCAGCTTTTGAAACAGACCAGAGTTCCTGAAGATGCGAGTGTCATGTACCTTTCCTGGCCATCCCACGTTGATGTTGGTGAAACGTCCCTTGTGATCCACCAGAGCTTGCAGCACTATCGAAAAGTACCCCTTGCGGTTTATGTACTCGCCGGCTTGGTGCTCCGGTGCCAAGATAGGGATATGGGTTCTGTCTATGGCCCCACCACAGTTAGGGAATCCCATTGCAGCAAAGCCATCCACTATGACCTGCACATTTCCCAGGGTCACTACCCTTGATATCAGCAGATCTTTGATTGCGTGGGCTACTTGCATCACAGCAGCCCCAACAGTAGATTTGCCCACTCCAAATTGATTCCCAACTGACCGGTAGCTGTCTGGCATTGCAAGCTTCCACAGGGCTATCGCCACTCGCTTCTCAACTGTGAGGGCTGCTCTCATCTTGGTATTCATGCGCCTCAGGGCAGGGGAAAGCAAGTCACAAAGTTCCATGAAAGTGCCCTTACGCATGCGAAAGTTTCGCAGCCACTAGGAATCGTCCCAGACCTGCAACACTATGCGGTCCCACCAGTCTGTGCTTGTTTCAGGCAGGACTTCACAGAGGGTTCCAATAAGAAATGGTGCACCTAAGTTATCATTCTTATTGGAACAAGGAGGTTAGCCTGGCCTCTGATTGATACATGGCTAGATTTACCTCGCTGCACCTTCTCTGTGAGTGACTGCAGTGTGACCTAGAGGAATGAGTCCCCTAGACAGGGGAGGAGGCAAATGAGTACAAAACAAATCTGGTCTATTTCTTGTTTTGATCCACTCCATCTATCTTTTACATCTTTGGCTGGCAGCAGACAGTGCAGAAGGACTGCATGCCATCCACATCTCATGGCTGCTCGGCAGAAGATGGTACAGTAGGACTGCTAGCCATCCTCGTCTCTTGCCTGCCCAGCAGAAGATGGTACAGTACGACTGCTAGCAATCCGTATCGCCTGCCTGCTCACCATAAGATGGTTCAATAGGACTGACTGCAGGACTAAAGAGAATGACCTGGTCAAGTCACTCCAAATTTAGTCCTTGCGCCCATGTCTGCCCAGGCGCTCACAGCCGACGTGGCCAGGAGCACCTCGGACACGACGAGGACGGCTACCAGTCGTATTGCACCGTCTGCTGCCACAAGGCAATGGGTTACTGCTACTGTGTAGCAATGCCGTACCGCATCTGCCAGCACCCAGGAGACATAGGGTGACAGTTACCTGAGATGGGCTCCATGCTTGCCGTGGTATGGAGTCTGCACAGGTAACTCAGGAAAAAAGGCGCGAAACGATTGTCTGCCCTTGCTTTCATGAAGGGAGGGAGGGAACGGGGGCCTGACGATATGTACCCAGAACCACCCGCGACAATGTTTTAGCCCCATCAGGCATTGGGATCTCAACCCAGAATTCCAATGGGCAGCGGAGACTGCGGGAACTGTGGGATAGCTATCCACAGTGCAATGCTCCAGAAGTCGACTCTAGCCTCGGTACTGTGGAAGCGCTCCGCCGAGTTAATGCACTTAATGCACTTAGAGCATTTTCTGTGGGGACACACACACTCGAATATATAAAACCGATTTCTAAAAAACCAACTTCTATAAATTCGACCTTATTCCGTAGTGTAGATATACCCACAGACAAACAAGTTTGTTTACATTTGCAGGAGATAATGCTGCCTACTTCTTGTTTACAATCTCACCTGAAAATGAGAACACGCATTCGCATGCCACTGTTGTAGCCAGAGTCACAAGCTATTTACGTGCCAGATATGGTAAAGATTCATATGTCCCTTCATGCTTCACCCACCATTCCATGCTGATGAAGGGTTCTGCTCAATAACAATCCAAAGCAGTGCGGACTGATGCACGTTCATTTTCATCATCTGAGTCAGATGCCACCAACAAAAGATAGATTTTCTTTTTTGGTGGTTCGGGTTCTGTAGTTTCTGCATCGGAGTGTTGCTCTTTTATGACTTCTGCATACATGCTCCACACCTCGTCCCTCTCAGATTTTGGAAGGCACTTCAGATTCTTAAAACTTGGGTCAAGTGGTGTAGCTATCTTTAGAAATCTCACAATGGTACCTTCTTTGCATTTTGTCAGATCTGCAGTGAAAGTGTTCTTAAATTGAACAACATGTGCTGGGTCGTCATCCAAGACTGCCATAACATAAAATATATGGCAGAATGCAGATAAAACAGAGCAGGAGACATACAATTCTCCCCCAAGGAGTTCAGTCACAAATTTAATTAATGCATTTTTTTTTTTACGAGCATCATTGGCATGGAAGCATGGCCTCTGGAATGGTAGCCAAAGCATGCAGGTGCATACAAATGTTTAGCATATCTGGCACATAAATACCTAGCAATGTCTGCTACAACGGTGCCATGCGAACACCTGTTCTCACTTTCAGGTGACAATGTAAATAAGACGCGGGCAACATTATCTTCTGCAAATGTAAACAAACTTGTTTGTCTTAATGATTAGCTGAACAAGAAGTAGGACTGAGTGGACTTGTAGGCGCTAACGTTTTACATTGTTTTGTTGTTTTGTTTTTGAGTGCAGTTATGTAACAAAAAAAATCTACATTTGTAAGTTGCACTTTCACGATAGAGATTACAGTACATACTTGTATGAGGTGAATTGAAAAATACTATTTCCTCTGTTTATCATTTTTACAGTGCAAATATTTGTAATAAAAATATAAAGTGAGCCCTATACACTTTGTATTCTGTATTGTAGATTGAAATCAAATATTTGAAAATGTAGAAAAACATCCCAAATATTTAATACATTTCAATTGGTTTTCTATTGTTTAACAGTGTGATTAAAACTGTGATTAATCACGATTAATTTTTTTGAGTTAATAGTGTGAGTTAACTTCAGTTAATCGACAGTCCTAGATTAAACTAATCCAAAGAAAGGCACTCTTATATTGTAATAAGAGTGTCCATATGGGGAATTTTTTTGGTATAGATACACTTGTATAACTGGTCAAACTTTCTAGCAGAGACAAGCCCTAAGGTGCTGGAGAGAGAGAGGCAAAATAATAGCTGAGAAAGGCAGTCCTCCTTGGTGGGTCAAAAGAAATGGAAGAAGTTTTTGGTGGCAGCCTTGAAGTCATAAGATAGCAAAGAAAAAAAAACTTGCTACTGGAAGAACAAAGATTTTGAAATCAAAATTGTACATTAAAAAAAATCACAATAAGAGCATAGGCAATGTTGTACTAGAAACCATTATGTGATGTGATGGCTTAGCTACTAGCATCAGTTATTGTTTTCTGTGATTATTTACTATAAAACTATACATATACTGTAGCGTGGTTAGCACAATGGTAACCAAAGTAAATGATGGCATGACAAGAAAAATAAGAGTAATGAAAATACCATTCTAAAAATAAATAAATGGAGGAGTGAAACTACATTTACTGTAGATTACAGGAGGTGGCGTGCCATTTAGGCAATCAAAATAGCAGAATAAGACCCACTTGTGAGCTGCAATGAGGCCTTGTGCAGACATACACCTTTCTAAACTGGCAAGGAATTTTAAACTCCAGTAGCATATGAACAAATTTAGGAGGCTGAGTCAAATATTTCACTGAATCAAATCTCCTTTGACAGCTCAAGACATTGTTACAGATCAAGAAGCACTGTCTTGTCTAGGCATTGGGGTACTCTGCACCTTTAACACCACAGCCCTGCCGGAGAGGGGAGGCTGAGATGAACAATCCAGTGAGGAACATAAGCCCCTCTGCCACCTACACCCTATCTCGGCAACCACTGCAGACAGATCACCAAATCTGTGGCAGTATTGCCAACCCCAAATGTTCAAAACGCAAATATTATGAGGCAGCTTCATCAAAAAATCATTAGATTGGCTTTTGTAACTGTCATCTCCTCTGCTTCTCCTTATCCTGAGGTTTCACCCTCTGGCGCTGTCTAGCAGTGCATCTCCCTCCCCCTGGCTTTCTGAACTCCACCTCCTGCACTCTGTCCCCAATTTAACCTGTCTGACCCTCTCCTCCGCTCCTGCCACCTGTTTCACCCTCCTCCCAATACATTTTGCCCCCTGCATAAATTCCGCTGATCCTACCTCTCCAAGTGGTAGCGTGACCAATTTTGGCTGGACATACAGTAGAATGTCAGAGTTATGAACTGACTGGTCAACCCCACACCGCATTTGGAACTGAAATTACATGATCAGGCAGCAGCAGAATCCTCCCCATAAGCAAATACAGTACAATAGTCTGTTAAACATAAACTACTAGCCAGGATGGGCAGGGATGGTGTCCCTAGACTCTGTTTGCCAGAAGCTGGGAATGGGCACCTGTTCCCTTCATTCCTTCTGGGACACCTGGGATTGGCCACTGTCGGAAGACTGGATACTGGGCTAGGTGGACCTTTGGCCGTTCTTATGTACTAAAAAAATTAAGGGAAAGTTTTTTAAAAAATTGACACGGTAAAGAAACTTTCTGTGCTTGTTTCATTTAAATTAAAATGGTAAAAAGAATTTGTCTTCTGCAGAGTAAAGTTTGAAAACTGTATTAAGTCCATGTTCAGTTATAAACTTTGGAAAGAACAACCATAATGTTTCATTCAGAAAAAAGAAAAGGAGTACTTGTGGCACCTTAGAGACTAACCAATTTATTTGAGCATGAGCTTTCGTGAGCTACAGCTCACTTCATCGGACGCATACCGTGGAAACTGCAGCAGACTTTATATACACACAGAGAATATGAAACAATACCTCCTCCCAGCCCACTGTCCTGCTGGTAATAGCTTATCTAAAGTGATCATCAGGTTGGGCCATTTCCAGTACAAATCCAGGTTTTCTCACCCTCCACCCCCCCCACACAAATTCACTCTCCTGCTGGTGATAGCCCATGAGAGTCCTGGACAATCCTGGAGGGTTGGCAACCCTTCCAGCTTGCCCCCTCTTCTCCATTTAGCCCTTGTTTATAGCAGGAAGCAGAGTTCCATGATAATAAGGGCAGAGTGAGGGCAGAGGCTTCAGCAGCTGTTACTGAGCATCCTCAGCTCACTGGAGCCTGCTCACTAACAGCAAAGTAGAGAATGCAGACGGGAAGCAGGTTTTGAAGGTAATTCTGGGCTCTGCCGGAGCATTGACCCCTCAACTGGGGACTTCTGGTAATAGAGAAAGTGCTGGGAATGGGTAGGAAAGTGACTCTGCACAAAGGGGCCCCCAGGAACCTCAGCTCCCTTTAGAAATCTGCTCCCTTGTGGATGTATCTAGGGTCGGAGCTGAGCTGCAAGGAAGCAAGTGCTTCCTTTTGGGAACTGCTTAGGGGTAAAACCGTGGTAGGCTGTACGGGTTAGCTGGAAAGGGGACTACAAGGGGGCTATGATCAGGCCCCAGGGCGGGTCCCCTTTTTCTCTGCGGGCGGGGAGGGAGCATCAGGAAGGGGAAGAAGAGGAAAAATAAAAAACGGAGAAGAATGGGGGGGAGAGGAGAGGCAGCATGAGATGTAGCATATTTATCCATTTGCGCAGTTAGGGGAGAGGAAACAGTGGGTGGGGGGAGGCTAATTCATTTAATAATCTGACCCCATTACCGCTCCCTCCCACACCCACAGAGACAAACCCTGAGGCCCCCCTCAGATTCCAGAGTGAGAAGTAGATCTCAATATTAAAGTGAGAACAGAGATGTGTTTGTTTCATCAGGCACATCAAGTCTAAGAGGTCTTAGTCTTAGATTCTGAGTCTTTATAGGCGCACTTCCACACTGCCAGGTAAATAGGCTTGGCAGACTTCGATTTTTATTTTATTATAGTTTTTTGCAGATAGTATCTATGTTTATTTTAAAGCTTTTTATTTTTATTGATTTAAATTGTCCTAGCTGCGGGAAATTATTGGAGGAGGGGCGGGCAATCGTGGAATCAGGCAATTATTTGGTGACAGTAGGTGCTGAAATTCAAAATGTTAAAGCTTCATAACTGTTCAAACTAAAAATTGTCAGCAGCACATGTCAAAATCTAGACAAAGTAAATATCTATAAATCAAACTCTAATAAGTTCTCAGGCAGCATTTTTCTTAGTTTGCCTATTTGTTAATTTGGATTATCGATGGAAATATTTTTTGTGGGTTTGCCTGTACGGTGAAATTGACGTTTACAGATGTTAACTGATAAAAATCTAATCTTTCTAAACCTACTTGTAGATAACCTAACAGCGCCCTCTCCCTCTTTTTAGGGAACAGTGGGTTAAGACTCAAGACAAATGGGTTCTATTCCTGGCTCTGCTGCTGGGTGCCCTCGGGCATGTCACTGCCCCACTCTGTGCCTCAGTTTCCCCCCTCAAAATGGGGCTAATGATACTGACTCCTTCTGTAAAGTACTTTGAGAGCCACTGATGAACAGGACGATGAAAGCTAGGTATATAATTAATGACCCCTTCTGACCCTTTTGCAAGATTGTGGCCACTGTTATTTATTTAGCTAATTTTAGTAATTTGATGATTTGTTATTGATGGCTCTAGCCACATCCAGCTAACATTCAGCTTCTTTTCATACATTTTGCACTTCCAAAAAAGTCTCTTTTTAAAAAATAAATGTTAGTTTAACATGATTTCATAACATCTTTGAAAAGAGTTGTTTTCCAGAAATGCCTGTCAAATTTAATCCAAATATTGGATTACATGTTGGATTGGATTAAGTGTCCCTGTGATGGGGGCTGCTGTACTCACCACTGGAGGGCACCGCCTCCTGGCAGTTCTGGGGATTTGCTTGGTCAGACTGGTGCCCCTTTCAGTGGTTGCACGCCATCCCTCAGTGGCTCTCTCAGGTCTGCAGCCCTTCTCTCATTCCAGGAAGCGCAGCCTCTTCTTCGTGATTCAACCCTCCGGGCTAGGTCACTCAGCATTTCCCCCCTTCCTGGGTATAGTCCCCTTCAATTCTCTGTCACTACTACAGTGACCCAGGCAGTCCTCCCATTCACTGACCCACACTTGGTCTATGCCATGCCCATGGTGACTGGTGGGGGAACCCGGGCCCATCCTCTACTCCAGGTTCCAGTCCAGGGACCCTACACCCAGCAGTTCTGGGCTTTCCCCTCCTGGCCCTCACTGCTCCTTTCCTGCTCCTAGATAGGAAGCCCAAAACTGTAATCAAGGCCGGGAAGATTGGAGCCAAATGGATGGAGGTGGTGGAGAAGAAGAAAGCTAGTAGCAGTTGGTGCAGATACCAGAAGGGGCAACCCAAGACAACACCCCATCATTGGGGTCAGCCCAAAGCCCCACCTCACAAGGAGGAGCCCTCCACACAGCCAGGGAGACCCAAGATGCCCTCTCCTCCCACCACCCCACTCTCTAACCACCCACCTCGCCCCAGCGCACAGTCAGCTGCATGATGCTTTAAATGTAATGAGCTGAGGCATGTGAAGGCCAACTATCCCAAGAGCACCAGCCAACTGCAGCTCATCACCATGGGGTCCCACTGACAGCCTTTAGGCCGAGATGCCTCGCACATACCCCCAGAGCAAAGAGAAACTATGAGTGTGGGAGGGAGGAAGATTACTGCGTGGAGAGACACTGGAGCACAGGTGTCAGCTATCCACCAATCCCTGGTGGACCCCAAATTGATCGACCCAGAGGCCCAGGTGACGGTGGAACCCTTTAAGGCCAACTCTTTTAACTTGCGTACAGCCAGGTTGCCTGTCCAGTACAAGGGCTTGTCAGGAATATGGACTATGATGATTATCCCATTCCCATGCTGCTGGGAGAAGACTTAGCAAATCATGTGAGGGGAACAAAACAGGTGGGGATGGTAATCTGCAGCCAGGCTAAACAGGCCTCCACACCTAACTCCATTCCTGAGCCTCCTACAGGGACCCAGCCAGAGGTGGGAAAACCAGACCCCAGAGCAGAGTCTCTGGGTATGTCTAAACTACAGAATAAGGTTGAATTTATAGAAGTTGGTATTTTAGAAATCGGTTTTATATATTCGAGTGTGTGTGTCCCCACAGAAAATGCTCTAAGTGCATTAAGTGCATTAACTCGGCGGAGTGCTTCCACAGTACCGAGGCTAGAGTCGACTTCTGGAGCGTTGCACTGTGGGTAGCTATCCCACAGTTCCCGCAGTCTCCGCTGCCCATTGGAATTCTGGGTTGAGATCCCAATGCCTGATGGGGCTAAAACATTGTCGCGGGTGGTTCTGGGTACATATCGTCAGGCCCCCGTTCCCTCCCTCCCTCCGTGAAAGCAAGGGCAGACAATCGTTTCGCGCCATTTTTCCTGAGTTACCTGTGCAGACGCCATACCACGGCAAGCATGGAGCCCGCTCAGGTAACCATCACCCTATGTCTCCTGGGTGCTGGCAGACGCGGTACGGCTTTGCTACACAGTAGCAGCAGCAACCCCTTGCCTTGTGGCAGCAGACGGTACAGTACGACTGGTAGCCGTCATCGTCATGTCCGAGGTGCTCCTGGCCACGTCGGCTGGGAGCGCCTGGACAGACATGGGCGCAGGGACTTAATTTAGAGTGACTTGACCAGGTCATTCTCTTTAGTCCTGCAGTCAGTCCTATTGAACCATCTTATGGTGAGCAGGCAGGCGATACAGATTGCTAGCAGTCGTACTGTACCATCTTCTGCCAGGCAGGCAAGAGATGAGGATGGCTAGCAGTTGTATTGTACCATCTTCTGCTGGGCAGGCAAGAGATGAGGATGGCTAGCAGTCCTACTGTACCATCTTCTGCCGAGCAGCCATGAGATGTGGATGGCATGCAGTCCTTCTGCACCGTCTGCTGCCAGCCAAAGATGTAAAAGATAGATGGAGTGGATCAAAACAAGAAATAGACCAGATTTGTTTTGTACTCATTTGCTTCCCCCCCTCCCCTGTCTAGGGGACTCATTCCTCTAGGTCACACTGCAGTCACTCACAGAGAAGGTGCAGCGAGGTAAATCTAGCCATGTATCAATCAGAGGCCAGGCTAACCTCCTTGTTCCAATAAGAACGATAACTTAGGTGCACCATTTCTTATTGGAACCCTCCGTGAAGTCCTGCCTGAAATACTCCTTGATGTAAAGACACCCCCTTTGTTGATTTTAGCTCCCTGAAGCCAACCCTGTAAGCCGTGTCGTCAGTCGCCCCTCCCTCCGTCAGAGCAACGGCAGACAATCGTTCCACGCCTTTTTTCTGTGCGGAAGCCATACCAAGACAAGCATGGAGGCCGCTCAGCTCACTTTGGCAATTAGGAGCACATTAAACACCACACGCATTATCCAGCAGTATATGCAGCACCGGAACCTGGCAAAGCGATACCGGGCGAGGAGGCGACGTCAGCGCGGTCACGTGAGTGATCAGGACATGGACACAGATTTCTCTGAAAGCATGGGCCCTGACAATGCATGCATCATGGTGCTAATGGGGCAGATTCATGCTGTGGAACGCCGATTCTGGGCTCGGGAAACAAGCACAGACTGGTGGGACCGCATACTGTTGCAGGTCTGGGACGATTCCCAGTGGCTGCGAAAGCTTTCGCGTGCGTAAGGGCACTTTCATGGAACTTTGTGACTTGCTTTCCCCTGCCCTGAGGCGCATGAATACCAAGATGAGAGCAGCCCTCACAGTTGAGAAGCGAGTGGCGATAGCCCTGTGCAAGCTTGCAACGCCAGACAGCTACCGGTCAGTTGGGAATCAATTTGGAGTGGGCAAATCTACTGTGGGGGCTGCTGTGATGCAAGTAGCCCACGCAATCAAAGATCTGCTGATATCAAGGGTAGTGACGCTGGGAAATGTGCAGGTCATAGTGGATGGCTTTGCTGCAATGGGATTCCCTAACTGTGGTGGGGCCATAGACGGAACCCATATCCCTATCTTGGCACCGGAGCACCAAGCCGCCGAGTACATAAACCACAAGGGGTACTTTTCGATAGTGCTGCAAGCTCTGGTGGATCACAAGGGACGTTTCACCAACATCAACGTGGGATGGCCGGGAAAGGTGCATGACGCTCGCATCTTCAGGAACTCTGGTCTGTTTCAAAAGCTGCAGGAAGGGACTTTATTCCCAGACCAGAAAATAACTGTTGGGGATGTTGAAATGCCTATATGTATCCTTGGGGACCCAGCCTACCCCTTAATGCCATGGCACATGAAGCCGTACACAGGCAGCCTGAACAGTAGTCAGGAGCTGTTCAACTACAGGCTGAGCAAGTGCAGAATGGTGGTAGAATGTGCATTTGGACGTTTAAAGGCGCGCTGGCGCAGTTTACTGACTCGCTTAGACCTCAGCGAAACCAATATTCCCACTGTTATTACTGCTTGCTGTGTGCTCCACAATATCTGTGAGAGTAAGGGGGAGACGTTTATGGCGGGGTGGGAGGTTGAGGCAAATCGCCTGGCTGCTGGTTACGCGCAGCCAGACACCAGGGCGGTTAGAAGAGCACAGGAGGGCGCGGTACGCATCAGAGAAGCTTTGAAAACCAGTTTCATGACTGGCCAGGCTACGGTGTGAAAGTTCTCTTTGTTTCTCCTTGATGAAACCCCCCGCCCCTTGGTTCACTCTACTTCCCTGTAAGCTAACCACCCGCCCCTCCTCCCTTCAGTCACCGCTTGCAGAGGCAATAAAGTCATTGTTGCTTCACATTCATGCATTCTTTATTCATTCATCACACAAATAGGGGGATGACTACCAAGGTAGCCCAGGAGGGGTGGTGGAGGAGGGAAGGAAAATGCCACACAGCACTTTAAAAGTTTACAACTTTAAAATTTATTGAATGACAGCCTTCTTTTTTTTGGGCAATCCTCTGTGGTGGAGCGGCTGGTTGGCCGGAGGCCCCCCCACCGCGTTCTTGGGCGTCTGGGTGTGGAGGCTATGGAACTTGGGGAGGAGGGCGGTTGGTTACACAGGGGCTGTAGCGGCAGTCTGTGCTCCAGCTGCCTTTGCTGCAGCTCAACCATACACTGGAGCATACTGGTTTGGTCCTCCAGCAGCCTCAGCATTGAATCCTGCCTCCTCTCATCACGCTGCCGCCACATTTGAGCTTCAGTCCTCTCTTCTGCCCGCCACTTACTCTCTTCAGCCCGCCACCTCCCCTCCCGGTCATTTTGTGCTTTCCTGCACTCTGACAGTATTTGCCTCCACGCATTCGTCTGTGCTCTGTCAGTGTGGAAGGACAGCATGAGCTCAGAGAACATTTCATTGTGAGTGCGTTTTTTTTTCTTTCTAAGCTTCACTAGCCTCTGGGAAGGAGAAGATCCTGTGATCATTGAAACACATGCAGCTGGTGGAGAAAAAAAAAAGGGACAGCGGTGTTTAAAAAGACACATTTTATAAAACAGTGGCTACACTCTTTCAGGGTAATCCTTGCTGTTAACATTACATACATAGCACATGTGCTTTTGTTACAAGGTCGCATTTTGCCTCCCCCCACCGCGTGGCTACCCCCTCAGCCCTCCCCCCTCCCCGTGGCTAACAGCGGGGAACATTTCTGTTCAGCCACAGGCAAACAGCCCAGCAGGAATGGGCTTCTCTGAGTGTCCCCTGAAGAAAAGCACTCTATTTCAACCAGGTGACCATGAATTATATCTCACTCTCCTGAGGATAACACAGAGAGATAAAGAACGGATGTTGTTTGAATGCCAGCAAACATACACTGCAATGCTTTGTTGTACAATGATTCCCGAGTACGTGTTACTGGCCTGGAGTGGTAAAGAGTCCTACCATGAAGGACGCAATAAGGCTGCCCTCCCCAGAAACCTTTTGCAAAGGCTTTAGGAGTACATCTAGGAGAACCGCGAATGCCAGGGCAAAGTAATCCTTTCACATGCTTGCTTTTAAACCATGTATAGTATTTTAAAAGGTACACTCACCAGAGGTCCCTTCTCCGCCTGCTGGGTCCAGGAGGCAGCCTTGGGTGGGTTCGGGGGGTACTGGCTCCAGGTCCAGGGTGAGAAACAGTTCCTGGCTGTCGGGAAAACTGGTTTCTCCGCTTGCTTGCTGTGAGCTATCTACAACCTCATCATCATCATCATCTTCTTCGTCCCCAAAACCTGCTTCCGTATTGCCTCCATCTCCATTGAAGGAGTCAAACAACACGGCTGGGGTAGTGGTGGCTGAACCCCCTAAAATGGCATGCAGCTCATCACAGAAGCGGCATGTTTGGGGCTCTGACCCAGAGCGGCTGTTCGCCTCTCTGGTTTTCTGGTAGGCTTGCCTCAGCTCCTTAAGTTTCACGCGGCACTGCTTCTGGTCCCTGTTATGGCCTCTGTCCTTCATGCCCTGGGAGATTTTGACAAAGGTTTTGGCATTTCGAAAACTGGAACGGAGTTCTGATAGCACGGATTCCTCTCCCCAAACAGCGATCAGATCCCGTACCTCCCGTTCGGTCCATGCTGGAGCTCTTTTGCGATTCTGGGACTCCATCATGGTCACCTGTGCTGATGAGCTCTGCATGGTCACCTGCAGCTTGCCATGCTGGCCAAACAGGAAATGAGATTCAAAAGTTCGCAGTTCTTTTCCTGTCTACCTGGCCAGTGCATCTGAGTTGAGGGTGCTGTCCAGAGCGGTCACAATGGAGCACTCTGGGATAGCTCCCGGAGGCCAATACCATCGAACTGTGTCCACAGTACCCCAAATTCGAGCCGGCAAGGTCGATTTAAGCACTAATCCACTTGTCAGGGGTGGAGTAAGGAAATCGATTTTAAGAGCCCTTTAAGTCGAAATAAAGGGCTTCATTGTGTGGACGGGTGCAGGTTTACATCGATTTAACGCTGCTAAATTCGACCTAAAGTCCTAGTGTAGACCAGGGCTATGACAACAGTTGTAGATCCAGTTCCTGGGACCCAGTCAGAACCAGCCTAAAGATCGGAACTGGCGGAGCAGTCAGCACCAGAGCCTGTACTTGCAACCCCACCAAAGTCAGAGGAGTCAGCACCAAAGGGCACCACAGAGCCTACACCTGCAGCAGCAGCTACATTGGCGCAAGAAGCTCAACTGGAGCCTGAAATACAACCCAGTGCACTAGTGGAGAGTGGTTCACAGTCAGTGGAGACACCCCCGTCACCTGCATCGCTTCTAGTGGGACCAAGCCCAAGTCCACAACCCAGCAAGGAACTAATGTCTCCAGCATCAATGGAGCAGTTCCAGGCAAAGCAGGAAGCAGATGAAAGCCTCAAGGGAGCTTGGACAGTGGCACGGAGTGACCCACCGCCTCTCAGCTCTTCCAGTAGGTCCAGGTTTATTGTAGAAGGAGGACTCTTGTACAAGGAAACCCTTTCTGGTGGGAACAAGGAGAACTGGCATCCTCAGAGACAGTTGGTAGTTCCAAGTAAGTTTAGGAAAAAGCTCTTGAGCTTAGCCCATGATCACCCTAGTGCCCATCCTGGGGTGAACAAGACCAAAGACCATTTGGGGAAGTCATTTCACTGAGAGGGAATGGGCAAGGATGTTTCTACCTATGTCCGGTCTTGTGAGGTGTACCAGAGAGTGGGAAAGCCCCAAGACCAGGTCAAGGCCTCTCTTCAGCCTCTCCCCATAATTCAGGAGAAATATATAATCATAATTCATAATTCCCCATCCATTTCAGCATGTAGCTGTAGATATTCTGGGTCCTTTCCCTAAGAAGACATCCAGAGGAAAGCTATACATACTGACCTTCATGGATTTTGCGACCCGATGGCTGGAAGCAGTAGCTCTAAGCAACACCAGGGCTAAAAGCATAAGGCAGGCATTGGAAAAAATTTTTGCCAGGGTAGGTCGGCTCTCAGACATCCTTATGGATTTGGGAACTAACTTTCTGGCAGGGATCATGAAACATCTTTGGGAAGCTCATGGGGTAAACCACTTGGTTGCCACCCCTTACCACCATCAAACAAATGGCCTAGTGGAGAAGTTTAATGGGACTTTGGGGGCCATGATATGTAAATTCATGAATGAGCACTCCAATGATTGGGACCTAGTGTAGCAGCAGTTACTCTTTGCCTACAGGGCTGTACCACATCCCAGTTTGGGGTTTTCACCCTTTGAACTCGTTTATGGCCATGAAGTTAAGGGGCCATTACACTTGGTGAAACAGCAATGGGAGGGGGTTACATCTTCTCCAGGAACTAACATTTTGGACTTTGCAACCAACCTGCAAAACACCCTCAAAGACACTCTAGCCCTTGCTCGAGAAAACTTACGGGATGCTCAACAAGAGCAAAAGGCCTGGTATGATAAACATGCCAGAGAGTGTTCCTTCAAAGTAGGTGACCAAGTCATGGTCCTGAAACCGCTCCAGGCCAATAAGATGGAAGTGTTGTGGGAGGGGGCATTTACGGTCCAAGAGTGCCTGGGAGCTGTTAATTACCTCATAGTGTTCCCAGCCCCTATCCTAAAACCTAAAGCAGGGGTCCCAAACTCAATTTACCTCAGGGCCAGTGCCAGTCCTCAAATTCTCCTAGCGTGCCAATAATGTCACTGAAGATGGTGTTCAGAAAAGAAAACGTTTATATTGTATTTTTATTTCAAATTTCTTAGAAATAATAAAACTGTCATACAACTTTGTACAATTCTTCGCCTGCCAGAGAGTTTTAAGTATTTGCCAGACACCTGGCAATGTTTCAGTTCTGTGAGTTTGTTGGTGTGATAACTGGTTCTGTTGATGAAGGGAAAGCAGTGGACATGTTATTCCTCGACTTTAGCAAAGCTTTTGACACAGGTCTCCCACAGTATTCCTGTCAGCAAATTAAAGAAGTATGGGCTGGATGGATGCACTACAAGGTGGGTAGAAAGTTGGCTAGATTGTCGGGCTCAACAGGTAGTGATCAATGGCTCCATGTCTAGCTGGCAGCCGGTATCTAGCAGAGTGCCCCAAGGGTCGGTCCTGGGGCCGGTTTTGTTCAATATCTTCATTAATGATCTGGAGGATGGTGTGGATTGCACCCTCAGCAAGTTTGCAGATGACACTAAACTGGGAGGAGTGGTAGATACGCTGGACCTAGACAAATTGGAGGATTGGGCCAAAAGAAATCTGATGAGGTTCAACAAGGACAAGTGCAGAGTCCTGCACTTAGGACAGAAGAATCCAATGCACCGCTACAGACTAGGGACCGAATGGCTAGGCAGCAGTTCTGCAGAGAAGGACCTAGGGGTGACAGTGGACGAGAAGTGGATATGAGTCAACAGTGTGCCCTTGTTGCCAAGAAGGCCAATGGCATTTTGGGATGTATAAGTAGGGGCATTGCCAGCAGATCGAGGGACGTGATCATTCCCCTCTATTCGACATTGGTGAGGCCTCATCTGGAGTACTGTGTCCAGTTTTCTCCACACTACAAAAAGGATGTGGAGAAATTGGAGAGACGTTCTCGGGGCGCAGATGGCTCGCGGGCTGGGACTTTGAGACCCCTGACCTAAAGTATACCTTGTTAATTCTCTAAAGCCCTTTTATTCCCGAGAAATCAAGGTTCTCCAGTTTACAGCCCAGGAGAGAGATGACACTGAGTGGCCTGAAGGAGTCTACTATGAAGGGAAAAGCAACGGTGGTTTTGAAGAGATGAGCCTTTCCATCACCCTTGGGCATAAGCAGCAACAGCAAATCCAGGAGCTGTGCACCAGCTTCACGCCAATGTTTTCAGCCATCCCAGGACGGACAGAACGGGCGTACCACTCCATTGACACAGGTGATGCTCGCCCAATTAGAGCCCAACCCTACCGGATGGCTCCTCAAGCCAAAACAGCAATAGAACGGGAGATCAAGGACATGTTACAGATGGGTGTAATCCGCCCCTCTGAGAGTCCATGGGCCTCTCCAGTGGTTCTGGTTCCCAAACCAGATGGGGAAATCCAGTTTTGTGTGGACTACCATAAGCTAAATGCTGTAACTCACCCAGACAACTATCCAATGCCACGCACAGATGAGCTATTGGAAAAACTGGGACGTGCCCAGTTCATCTCCACCTTAGACTTAACCAAGGGTGTAGGGAGCCAGGGTGGCTTCCCTCCAAACCAGACGGTAAACAGC